AGTGCGCATGTAGCGTCATAAATGACCATTAATAACGATTGGTTTAAAGGGTTTCCTAAAGTTGAACTTCAAGTATATCTGCATGAAATATCACCAACATTTGAGTGGAATAGACTGGCTGCTCTACCTGAACTGTGGCTCATACAAATTCAGCCCTGTCACGAGGGAAGCCGGAAAAAATGCTTAGAAAACTTTCTTGCTTATTTCCTGAGTCCACTACGACCTTTGTCCTTAAAGAAATACCCACCTCTATTTGTGTAATGGAGGATTTCGAAATATTGTTCCAGTTTATATTCACAGAAATATCAAATTACTACGCTTACTATTCGCAACGCTTTCCTCGATAGAGAATACATTGCATTAGGCCTCCTTTTTGCATTAGGATTTACTTAAAGCAATTTGTAATAATGGGCCGATGGGGCAGCGAGGTTCTGAAGTGGAGGCCTCGTACCGGAAAACGCAGCGTAGGACGTTCACCCACAAGGTGGTCCGACGACCTCATAAAGGTAGCGGGAAGACGCTGGATGCAGGCCATCAATCGGCCATTGTGGAAATCATTGGGGGAGACCTATGTTCAGCTGTGGACGTCCTATGGCTGAAAATGATGATGATGATGATGAATTTATAATACAATTGGCCAGGGTCAGTGAATGGGTACGCGTTACGAATCAACGTAACGCGTATGTATATCCAACTTTACAACATGATAGCTAAGTAGCTGCATGTGTGCTAAATACCTACATGTTAATAACACGGTTCAATTGCTTTTACACATCAAACTATAATTTGGACAGATTAAAATCTACTGACGGTAAGTACAAAATCATTTTGAATTAACATCAAACTAAAATCAAATTTCGCATCGAAAAGCTTTTGAAAACGTGGCGAAATTGAATAAATCGAGGTAAACCCACATCACGCCTACAAGTATGATTGTGTTAGAATAAAGCAGCCAACGTGTTTAGGATGGGTCTGGCAGGTTTACTGCTTCTACTAAACTTATGATTTATTCTATTTGTTTGCTTTTGCTCTATCTGCGTTATTACTGCAATTGTTTTTGAAGTTTCTAATAATGTATTCAGGTTTTCAATATCGGTGAGATGTGTATTATTAGGCCTAGTATGAATACAGCTCGCAAAATTCATTTATTGAAGGAACTTAAAATAATTAGATATGGACATCAAAAACATAACCCTTCTTCTGGCGCAGTCGGGTAAAAAGAAATGTACCTACGTAAAGTATGTGAGTAGTATTTTAGCATAATGTATTCAAATTAGGACGTGTTCCGTCTCACGTTTTCACAAGTGGGTACAAAATGTCGCATTTGGAGTACAGTCGGTTTCAGAGTAATTTTCACCTCACAGTTCGATCTTTAAGTTTGAAGACGTAAGGTGAAAATTTACGTTTACTTTGTTGTAAGTGGGTAAGTAGACGTTTAAAGTTTCAGGGTTGAGGGGGGTACTTCGTCCCTAATTGGGATGATTATTGATAAGATTACGAAGTCTTCGCAATGTTGAAGTTAGAACAAGACTTAGGCCTCGTTAATTCGAGAGGGAATTGCAAGTTGCCTGTAAGGCGGCATTTACAAGGTACGTACAGGTACCTAGATACGAGTACCTAGGTAGGTAGGTACTGTTTGTAAACCCATATGTACGTACATCCTATATCTTCAAATAACATTAAAATGTGTTGGTGGTAAAATTCTATTTTTGTAATAAACTAAAATCAACTGCAGCAAAAATCTTTCAACTACTTACTAAACACTAACCCCCTTACTAATAAAACTTACACGCTCGTTGATCAGTGTTTTATAGTGACGTTTAGTAAGGATGTCATTTTAAAACTGTTCAACAACTGTGTAGGTAACTTTTTATTAGTAAGGGGGTAAATAATTATTCAACGTCGTAAAGTAGGTATTAAGTAGGTACTTAGTAGGAGCTTAGTACCAGCTTCTTATTAGAAGCCGTTCAATCGCCGGCCAATATTGGGCATTAATAGGTATCTGTTTTGATAATAAACGTGAGAAAACCATTGAGGTACTTGCCTTGCACCACTTTTGTATTCTTCTTATTTTCGTGTCGACAACAAACCTACACAGTGTCAGCCCAAAACTCCGCCACAAGAGTGGCGTTGTCAGTAGCACTCATCAAATCCTCCTGAGTGCAGTTGCTTTTGTATTAAAGATAGCAAACACATACACAATGTTATAGCTAATAATAACTAGAACTTACCTGTGCTGCGATCGCCCCATGTAGAGTCCGCTCCAGAAACCGAATTACAGCAAGTTGGCAAGTATACCCGTGGCTGCAGGCCCACGGGCGTATGATTAGTCCTGAAGACAATTGGATTACTTCATTTTAGTCAACCCGTGGGGACCACCATGACAAATTGGATCTATGAAATGCTATTTATAACCAACTAGCGACCTGTCCCGGCTTTGCACGGGTGCTAAGTAAGTATGCATAATAAACCTTCCTCTTGAATCACTTTTTAAACCGCATCAAAATCCGTTGCGTAGTTTTAAAAATCTAAGCATAATAGGGATAGACAGCGACATGTGACTTTGTTTATACTAAATATGTAGTGATAGTAATATTACGGAGGTTTTAAGTAATCATTCATGCAAATATCCGGGAACGTTGTTATTTGTTGATGTTTAGTAAAAACAAGAAAAGGCAGGACGTGTAAAATAACGTACCTGGAAAATGGACGTCCATTTATCGATCACCGCCATGGGCTAATACCTCCATGATCACCGCTTAGCACTGTTTCAATCACCGTTGTGAAAAAGATTTAAAAAAAATAATATAATGTTAAAAATTAACATCTCACATGTTTGTAAAATAAACAAAAGAAAAGACGGTAAATAAAAAATATTATTCCCACCGCGCAAAGAGGCGCCAACAAATCCTATTGTTTTTTTTTTTGTTTTTCCCGGCTTTGAACATTCAATTATTTTGGAACGCAAGTTTTAAAACAATTTAGCTCACCAGATGTCGCTTTTGACTGGCAAGCAAAGATCATAAGCCATGCAGCCTAGTATGCTACTGACAGAAAAATGTTAAAATAAAATAAAAATACAGTGTGAGTCACGTTAAAGTGTACATATGAAAATAGATGAAACTAGACCTGTTTTTATCGACAAAAAAGAGGTCAAAAAATTTTTGAGATTTTTTTTTAATTTTTTATAGAATTTTTTTTCTTCCAATTACTTATTGTAAAGAAAACGTCCTAACTTTTAAACTAAGCGGTATATCCCGATAAAATAAAAACAGTAATAATGCTAAATAACAGGAAATACTAAAAAAATACATAAAATACACAAATAAGGCCAACAAATAATAAAAAACGATACTTTTTGAAAAAAATCTGCTTAAAAATTCGTGTTTTTTTGGTTATTTGATAAATTTCTCCAAAAAATGCCCCCATAACTGGTGGTTTTTCGTAAAACCAAAAATCGCATGTCTCTATCCCTATCACAACGTTTGCAATGATCATTTGAACTAAGCCTCTCCGGGCGCGCCATTCAACGCTTCGTTAACAACAAAACTGAAAATGGCTCTAGATTTGTAATTTTGATAAAGATAAGTTAGATTTCAAATAAAAACAAAAGATTTCGAAGTAAAATATGCATTTTAGTTAAAATTAAAATTGTCTCTACCTGTAGCGGAGAATAATGTTGTGGCAGGCCTTTATTCAAACGATCATAGCAAATGTTGTGATAGGGATAGAGACATGCGATTTTTCGTTTTACAAAGATAAAACGATAGAGAACAATACAAAGTAATAAAAACCACCGGTTATAGGGGCATTTTTCGGAGAAATTTATCAAATAACCAAAAAAACACGAATTTTTTAGGAGATTTTTTTCAAAAAGTATATTTTTTTATTATTTGTTGGCCTTTTTTGTGTGTTTTATGTATTTTTTTAGTATTGCCTGTTATTTAGCATTATTACTGTTTTTATTTTATCAGGATATACCGCTTAGTTTAAAAGTTATTACGTTATCTTTACAATAAGTAATTGGAAGAAAAAAAATTCTATAAAAAATAAAAAAAAATCTTAAAATTTTTTTGACCTCTTTTCTGTCGATAAAAACAGGTCTAGTTTCATCTATTTTCATATGTACACTTTAACGTGACTCACACTGTATAATGATGATGATCCATCCGACCGATTTCGGCCATGGCAACCACTCAGACTCCTAGCTGTCTTGGCGGCGCTGGTGTGCTAAATAAAAATATAATGGGTATCGAATTCCAAACTCATGAATACCTAAATACCTTATTATATTCTACCTTACCGGAGGTACCTATTTACCTTTACACCATGCATATAAAATCTTTTTTACACATTACTCAATATTAAGTTACACAATGTGTTTCTTTTGTTAAGGTTTTAAGGTTCAATTTTGAATGAATCATTCAGAATGATAGCTATTCAAATCGTATACTGTCAAGGGCTGACCCTCGTCAGATTTAACCAAGGTTCAGACGGCATGCTATCCGCCAAGGATTTACTCAATGTTTTATACGTTTGCACAGATTTGCACCTCCGATAAATGATACTTTTTTATTCTTCTGCATCAACTTTGCGAGAGGTTTTTACGTTTTTAGTGACACTATGGTACTTATTTATAACTAGCTTTCCGCCCGCATGGAATTTTGTCTGTCACAGAAAATCTTTATCGCGCACGTCCGTTTCAAAAACCAGGATAAAAACTATCCTATGTCCTTTCCTGGGACTCAAACTATCTCTATGTCATCAAAATCGGTTGTAGTTTAGGCGTGAAAGCAAGACAGACAGACCGTTACTTTCGCATTTATAAATAGTATAGATAAACTTTTTCATAACACAAAACAGAAGCTAAACTTAGACTAAATTTAGTCTAAAAGGTGATATAAAAAGACACTTTTATTTTTATACGTTTTATTATACAAAAAATATTTACAAATGTATTTTGTATTCTAATTATAAATGTATATTTACAATTAATTGTCCGTAAATATAGTAATTATTGACGTTTTAAACTTTACTTGTGATTATAAAACTGTTTTTCAAACAACACTTATGTATAACTAGTTATAATCAGATTTTATTGTTAGGTAAATGGAAATTTGTATTGCATGTCGTTGCACTCAATTCCTTAAATTTTCAGTTTAACAATTTGCTTAAAATATTAACATGTTTAAATGCCTTTTAGCTATTACAAAATATATGGATGTTATTTTTAAATTAATAGACCTTAAGGTCACAAACAGCGTAAATTTTAATATATATTATGATTAATATGACATCACATTATATTGTGATAAACCATACATCGGAGATACAATGAGAAACATTTGTCACGCGCCATCTAGTACTAAGTCAAATATACTAATTTTCTTGAAATACTATAGCAACGCCATCTACATTTTAGCGCGTGACCTACAGCCAAAATTAAGTTTTCTTTAATAAAAATTCACTTCAGTCACATCAAGACACACCACGATACAAACAGTTAAAGTGGTTAGACCAGCCACTGTTACAAAAGCATGATGCATTCCAAGGCCCTAGTTCGGTATGGGCGAATATGAGTCGTCTGCTACATAGCATAAGCTTTACATTCCAAAGTAGCATGCAACTTCGTTTCTGTATTTACATTTCAACAGATTTCTAGCGAGTCCTATGCTAAGTTATAGTGATAAATATTATATGGATTATAAGTTCTTAGTCTGAGTTGATTTCTTCGGCCACCTGCTGCCACTTGGCTACTAGGCTTGAGACCGATTTGTGCTTCATGCCAATGGATGACGATATCTTCACCTGCAATAAAGGAAAACATTTGTTATTAAATGAACTTAAACAGTGCATGTCATTTTACTTATTACTTCTGTGACCAATTTATTCTTCCCATCTCTTCACTTCCCATCATGACATTTATGCTGTACTGTACAGAATACTGTGTATTAAGATTTTCGCAAATAGTTTGTCAGGCTAATTTAAAAATCAATACTCATAGCTCAACTCAGAGCAGCAAAATAACTTTGTCAAGTTAGTATTCGTCGGCCGTTTGGTGTAGTGGTTCAGAACGGACTACTATGCCGAGAGGTCCCGGGTTCGATTCCCGGCCGGGCAGAAATTGAAATGATGAATTTTAATTTCTGTGACGGGTCTGGGTGTTACTATGTATAATATGTATGTATTTAAAAAAAAAGTATATAAGTAGTATATCCGTTAAGCTAGCACCCATAACACAAGCATATTAATTGCTTACTTTGGGGCTAGATGGCGCTGTGTGAGATTGTCCAAAAGTATTAGTATTAGAACTATTTTCAACATTATTTTCCTACTTCTCAATCGGTGAGGACTACAGCCACAACTCGGAATGATTTAAAAATATAAACGACATACCTTCGACTTTTTCTTCGTCTTAACTTCCTTTTCTTTGTCCTTCTCCTTCGGCTTTTCCATTTCTCTCTTTCTCTCCTTGCCTTTTTCCCTATCCCTCTCTTTCTCCTTATGTTCTTTGGGCGGCGGCGGAGGGGAAGCGGGCGGCGAAGATTTTGGCGTGACGCTTTTCTCCAGCTCGGCGATATCCTTGTAGAAGGATTGAAGCTCGTCGCCAATTTCTTGCTTCGGTGGTTCCTAAGACACAAAATGCTATTAGCTTTATACATTTACGACAGGAATGTTTTCCACAACACCAAAGTCCTTACTACAAAAAGTTAAGCACAGAATGAACACTGTTTAAATGACATTTGTATACTGTCAATTTAAACTAGAGTAACTAGAGATTAACTTTTTGTAAAGACCATTGAACCAGTCCGCAACGGGGACGTTCAAGAATCTTCAGTTCCGCCCACTTTCTGCTGGACGATAATTTTCTGGGAGGCGTCATTCTGTCTCTACGAGGTAGGTGCTGTCACATATTTATCAGAACTCAGTGCAGAAGACAACTTACTGGCGGCAGTGGCGGCAAAACCTGGTCGTAGTCCGGCGTCGTCAGGTCCAGCCACACCGGCGGCGGCGGCCGGCGTCAGGGCAGCTAGACAATTCAACATTCGTTAATTGCCTCAACACGCAAATGTTAAATTCAGCACATGAAAATGCATGATACATTGACGTCATCCAGTTTAGTAGATACCTTGGAGCGTGGCGAGTAGATGACGAGCTTTCAACGCAGTGATGAGGGGATCAGCTTTCTTGAATTCAGCAGATTCTTGTGAAATCAACTTACCAGATGACCTCATAACGGTTGCAGGAAGGCGCTAGATGCAGGACCTATGTTCAGCAGTAGATGTCCTCTGACCGAGATGATTGATGATCATGAAACTTATCAGAGTTGACGAAGGCCAGTGCTCTCTGAATGGCAGCAGCGACAGCTTGAGCAATAGAATCATGCAAGGATGACGTACACGAACGCTACGCCGCGGCGAAATGTCATTTACCAGCGGCCTGATGTCACAGCCGGGCGGCGGCGGGTCGTCCCAGTTGGGGGAAGCCTATGTTCAGCAGTGGACGCCCTCTGGCTGAGATGATGATGATGATGAAACTTACTAGGGTTAACGAAGATTTATGCACACAGGCATGGCAGAGTAAGGCAGCAGGTCCTTGTTTTTGCTCTCAGGCATGGCAGCGGGGTTTTGGGCATTAGAGAAGAAGTAGTAGTCACGCAGGGATGACATACACAAAGCTACTGACTTACTTGACAAAGGTCCTATGTCTGCTGGTCGATCGGAATTTTGTGGCAGCGTTCCAATAGCTCGCAGTTGGAGATTTTCTCGGGCCAGTATATGCCGAGAATTCGGCGAAGGCAGAGGTTGACGAAGATCTGCAGCTGGTGCGAGATAACCTTGGTGACCTAACAAACGCTACCTATCCCCTGAAACGTCACTTACCGGCGGCAGCGGCGGCGCGATGTCGTCACAGCCGGGCGGCGGCGGGTCGTCCCAGTTGGGGGAAGCTTATGTTCAGCAGTGAAAGTCCTATGGCCAAGATGATGATGATGAAACTTACCAGAGTTAACGAAGACTTCTGCCCACAGGCAGGCATGGCAGAGTAAAGCAGCAGGGCCTTGCTTCTGCTCTCAGGCATGGCAGTTTTGAGCAGAGAAGAAAAAGTAGTCACGCAGGGATGAAAAACACAAACGCTAAAGCCCGGTCCGTGAGCACGTAGAATTTTGTCCAATGACCCCAAGCTACCCATCCTTATCGCTCGCGCGTAATTATATTGCTGTCGCGACTGTGCGACGCGCGCCCGCAGTGAGTGAGCGAGCGCGACAGCAACATAATTACGCGCGAGCGATAAGGATGGGTAGCTTGGGGTCATTGGACAAAATTCTACGTGCTCACGGACCAGGCTTTACCTACCCCCTGAAACGGCACTTACCGGCGGCAGCGGCGGCGCGATGTCGTCGCAGCCGAGCGGCTGCGGGTCGTCCCAGTTGGGGGAAGCCTATGTTCAGCACTGTACGTCCTCTGGCCAAGATGATGATGATGTAACTTACTAGAGTTAACGAAGGCGTGTCCTCCCAAGCACTGCAGCAGAGACAGGACCACAGGACCAGTAGAGATACTGTTGCAGCGATGACGTACACAAAGCTACCTATCCCCTGAAACGTCACTTACCGGCGGCAGCGGCGGCAGGTCGTCCCAGTTTGGAAAAGCTTATATTCAACAGTAGACGTCTTCTGGCTGAGATGATGATGATAATGATGAAACTTACCAGAGTTCACGAAGACTTCTGCCTGCCTACCCTGCATTGCAGAGTAAGGCAGCAGGGTGTACCATGCCTGGGTAGTTTTGAGCAGTGGAGAAGAAAAAGTAGTCACGCAGGGATGAGAAACAAACGCTACCTATCCGCTGAAATGTCACTTACCGGCGGCAGCGGCGGCGCGATGTCGTCGCAGCCGGGCGGCGGCGGGTCGTCCCAGTTGGGGGAAGCCTATGTTCAGCACTGTACGTCCTCTGGCCAAGATGATGATGATGATGAAACTTACCAGAGTTAACGAAGACTTCTGCCCACAGGCAGGCATGGCAGAGTAAAGCAGCAGGGCAGAGCAGAACTTGCTTCTGATCTCAGGCATGGCAGTTTTGAGCAGAGAAGAAAAAGTAGTCACGCAGGGATGAGAAACACAAACGCTAAAGCCTGGTCCGTGAGCACGTAGAATTTTGTCCAATGACCCCAAGCTACCCATCCTTATCGCTCGCGCGTAATTATATTGCTGTCGCGACTGTGCGATGGGCGCCCGCAGTGAGTGTGCGAGCGCGACAGCAACATAATGAGGGCTATCGTTTTAGCGCTCACCAGTTGGCGCCACTGTAGAGTAAGGTCCTGTCACTTGCTAGTAGCGAAGACAGTGGCGCCAACTGGTGAGCGCGAAAGTGGTAGGAGGACTATCGCATTTGCACTCATCAAGATGGCGCCACTGTAGAGTAAGTAAGTCAATCGCCAGGGGTGCCAACTGTTGAGTATAAAAATGATAGCCCTCATTATACGCGAGCGATAAGGATGGGTAGCTTGGGGTCATTGGACAAAATTCTACGTGCTCACGGACCAGACTTTACCTAGCCCCTGAAACGTCACTTACCGGCGATCGATCACAGGTCTTCGACCTTCTTGGCCGGTTCGGGCGTCGAGCTTGTGCTCATGGCCCGTGCTGCATCTCGACTGGCTACTGCCAATCGGTGGTTTTGACGTCGCTTTGGCGACGGACTGCCTGGGCTTCTACCTGGCACCGCTGTCCCGCCCTCGGCGCGGTACCAGCCCACCGGGTGAGTCGACGTTGGTCGAGGCCCAGTGAACGACCAGCGAGCGGGCGGTTCCTGGATGCCAGGGAGCTTTCAGGCAGTCTCACAATGTTCGGGTGTTGAATTTTTCTTACCGGCGGCAGCGGCGGCGCGATTTCGTCGCAGCCGGGCGGCGGCGGGTCGTCCCAGTTGGGGAAAGCCTATGTTCAGCACTGTACGTCCTCTGGCCAAGATGATGATGATGTAACTTACTAGAGTTAACGAAGATGTGTCCTCCCAAGCACTGCAGCAGAGACAGGACCACAGGACCAGTAGAGATACTGTTGCAGCGATGACGTACACAAACACCTATCCCCTGAAACGTCACTTACCGGCGGCAGCGGCGGCAGGTCGTCCCAGTTTGGAAAAGCCTATTTATATTCAACAGTAGACGTCATCTGGCTGAGATGATGATGATAATGATGAAACTTACCAGAGTTCACGAAGACAGGGTGTACCATGCCTGGGTAGTTTTGAGCAGTGAAGAAGAAAAAGTAGTCACGCAGGGATGAGAAACAAACGCTACCTATCCGCTGAAACGTCACTTACCGGCGGCAGCGGCGGCGCGATGTCGTCGCAGCCGGGCGGCGGCGGGTCGTCCCAGGCGGGCGGCGGCGGCGTGCGCGGCTTGGCCGGCGGCGGCGGCGGCGGCGGCGGCGCGGACGGCGGCGATGGAGGCAGCGGGGGTAGGGTTTCCTCCTGTTGCACATTTATTTATTTATTTTTCTTTATTCAGAAAACCACAGCTCTTTATAATAATAATACAAACAGGTATTTTTGTTCTTACAGCCAATAATGGATTCTATATATTATTACAATCTCGTAAAAAACATTAATTAAATGAAGTATACAATTTATTCACAAGAGCGTATTCGTAAATAGGATTTTCTTAGCCTTTCTAGTGCTCGAGAGTAATTTGCATGTTAAAAGTTCAGAGCCAGTAAAATCACATTCCTGACACACAACTGAACAACTGTGACATGTAAAACGACACTAAATTCATAAGATAGTAAACCCAATGGTTTTGGCATCGGACTGCTATTTCAAGGTTAGTTCGATTCTCAGTCTGATTTCTGACCTAATCTCAGTTTTTGAAGTTAATCTTTCCCAGACCTTAACAGACCTGAGTCTGACAACTGAAATTGACCTCCCAAAGAACTAACGCATATGACAGTAGTGCTGTCCTTGATACTCAGAAGGATGGTAAAGGTCGCGGGTACCATGTTGAGAGCAGCTCAGGAACGCTTTGGAAATGTGTGGGTGTGATCTTGGTCCAGCAGTGGACGGAGTTCTATTACAACAAACTAGTTTGATCCTCACCTTAGCTTCGACGCCAGGATGCGGCGGCGTCGTGCAGATATCCATGTCGCAGTTGGTGGAAGCCGGATACTCCCACTGCATCAGCCCGTCGCTCTCTCGCTCGTAGAGCATACCAGATAAATCCTAAATCTGATATGTGATGGAAGTTGAGTATATCTAATCCAAGTGCCAAGTAGACCTATCACTGACCTTGGCTTCAACCCCAGGATGCGGCGGCGTCGTGCAGATATCCATGTCGCAGTTGGTAGAAGCAGGATACTCCCACTATATCAGGCCGTCTCTTAGACTTAGTCGTTTGGACCGAAGCTAGTTCGATCCTCGATAGATTTGGATTATTAAGCGCTTTGGAGGTTATTTCCACCAACCTTGACTTCGACGCCAGGATGCGGCGGCGTCGTACAGATATCCATGTCGCAGTTGAAGCAGGATACTCCCACTGCTTCAGCCCGTCGCTCTCTCGCTCGTAGAGCATACCAGATAAATCCTAAATCTGATATGTGATGGAAGTTGAGTATATCTAATCCAAGTGCCAAGTAGACCTATCACTGACCTTGGCTTCAACCCCAGGATGCGGTGGCGTCGTGCAGATATCCATGTCGCAGTTGGTGGAAGCAGGATACTCCCACTGCATCAGCCCGTCGCTCTCTCGCTCGTACCGGTAGCGCCCTTCCGACCTGCGGTACACAAAATCAACGGTTGAGGCACACGTAAGGAAGATACGTAGGGACGCCCGGTAGATTTAGATGTCGGGGAATCTTAAATCGGGTATTTTATCAAAGTTTGGTTGGATGTTTCTTGGTAAATTCGCATAAGCCTTGTTAATTTGTCGTGTTTTCATAGAGCAATGGTTTCCAAACGACTGTAACCGAACTAATTCAACTTTGGTCAACGGCGCATTGTATGCGCGCCCGTAGTAAGTAAGAACACTTTGGTCGTTACTGAATAAAGGATTAAATGCGGTAGAGGCTCTAAAAAGTTTGGGAGACACTGATCTAGATCTCAAATAGTTGACTGATGAAAAGTAAACAATTTTACAATATACTACAGATACTGCTCTAAGCAGTATAATGATAATAATAATATGTCGTCACCTCAATTTGTAAGATGGCGCTCACTCTGCGGCTAATTGAATACATGTCTAGATGATCTAATAACAATTTAAAATTCCCATCAAACCATCTAAAGATATAGGGCTGACTTACTTCACTAGCTGAATTACATTTTATTGCATACTAAACCCTTTCTTATCCCTTTGTGTTTGCTTTCATTTTATTTTGAACGCAATTTACTAAGGACTTTTAAAACCAAACACAAACGTCGTCTCGAGCGATCAGTTTCATGCAGAATTGGAATTCTTTTGAAACCGATTCCATCTAAGTCTGGCCACCTGGAAAAGACCAAAGCGTATTATCTTGAAGTATTAAAATTAAATGAATTTTGTTTTCTTACCAAATCCGCGGCGCGCAGAATCTTGTCCAGGCTCGGCTAGTCAGGCAGCTTTTTCTAATGTCTTCGTAGACTTCTCATTATAGTTAAATACCAAAATTATGCAATTCATTAATTACATTGCCAAAAATATTTCTATGGAGTACGGATGGAGGTAACAGAACTTTTTTTTAACTAATTATTCAACTCCAAATATATGAATGTTCACCGTGCAGAGAAAATAAGTATATCAAAAGCAACAGACAATTGTAGTAAGATTTTTTTCAATTACGTATTACAGTAGACTCATATATTTGTTGTTGGATTTAAAATAATACCTAGCTAGGGCAATAATAACATAACAGTAAAAAACTCAATTAATTATAGCATTCTGTTTATTACAGTATGAAAATTGTGTAAATATAATTTCAATAAAAGCAACTTCATCACAGTTTTTCAGATCACAGATCAATCAGAAATATCACATGATATCAATATCAAGTGGGACAATATCATAAGCGAACGAAGAAATCATAGAAACCACAACTAATTATTATTAAAAAAAAAATTCAAATTGAAAACGTTTATTGCATGTCACATTACAATTTCAACCGATGTAATAACATTTATTTATTATATTTCTTTAAGAAGCAACAAAATCGATTTCATAAATAATAACAAAATCATTTACTAAAACTTTTTAGCTAAATCTTCTAGTATTTTTTACTTTTTCTCAAAACCATAAATATGTCACTATTATAGGAACAAAGCCCGGTGATGCAAGTCAGTAATAGTCATTCTGGAGCATTCTTCTAGGATATTTTTTCATACTTCGCATCCTTGGTATCATATTTTGTATCCTCGTACATTTCCGTGTAATAAAGGCGATAGATTTTGTATTAGATTTTCAATCTCAACTGTCTCCAAGTCCGTTATTTTATCATTATCACTTGCCGCTTTTGGTTTGTACTAAACTGAACGGCTTGGACTGTTTTCGAGTTCAAGTGAAATAGTCAGCGTGAGTCTGACGAGGTCCACCCTTCCCATGTCAAATGTAACAACTTCTCATTTAAAAATAAAGTTTAACTCTTGGCACTTTCATTATCAAACTCGCGTTTCTATGTTTTTTTCGTTCACCACAATGAGATGGCACTTGGTATTGTATTTAAAAACAGTCTTGTAACATTTGTAAATAAATTAACATTTACAATTTAATAACAATCATAAACAATTCCAAAATACACAAATTAGATAACAATATAAATACCGACATGAATCATATAATAAATATCTGCTTCACAAGGAAATTATTCCTTTAAATACGAAAATAATAAAATAAACACGTTTTGTTACCTTGCTGTGAAACAAACACCCCAACAAGTATGACGATTGGTTAGAAACATGGCTTCGTAGTTAAAAGTCCAAATAAACTTTAGTGTCCAATAAAATGGTTTTTAACTCCCAAGCTTTCCTCGTGCCCCCACGGTTATGCTCCATTTTACAAGTCTAATATCTATGGTGAAATTTTGTAGAAATGATGATCAGTAAACTAATATTATATTTTGCTTGACTCGGTTCAGTAAAAAAATATGATTGATGACGATAACGATTTATAGTAAAGTTTTTCATGAGTGTAACGACTGTTTTGGTTTCAGGCGGGTAATGATAATGATATAAAAAAAATATATGTATATGCAATCGCGGGCTTATTTTTCACATTTAACTTTATGAATTACGTGGATGCTTCTATCAAGTATCAAGTGAGTTTTCGTACGAGTTTACATGACTCCACAGGGTAGTGTACAATAAAATTCGTCAATTGACATACTTTTAAGAGTTATCAAAACGCAATTCCCGATTATCCAACTGTCGCTAATCTATTTTGGCTGAAGTAATAGGCTAAATGACAAAATTTCAATTATTTGTCCGTAGACAGATAATTAGAAAATATTAGACTCATATTTTTTATTTTCTTTCATAATCAAATAATAACAGTGCTACGCTTGAGTAATTTTTTATTCAAAAGTGACGTCACGCGACATTTCAACTCGATATAATGCTGTAACTATTTGTAATGGCGAAACATGTGCACTACTTAATTCTGTAACATCTTTATTACCATGTTACGCAAATAAAATTCTGATTCTGATAAGTATTCGATTATGAAAAAAAAATCAAAAATATGTGTCAAATTTTTTTTTATTATCTGTCTGAGACGGATTAAATAGAATTTCGATTTCATTAGCCAATCATCCCTATTCAAGGACACCGTTACATCGCTCAAGTGACGTGGCACAAGGGTGGGGGCAGCCCCGTGCGTGGCCGTCGCGCGTACCTCTGGAAGACGCAGCGCCAGCCCGGCGGCGCCGCGGCCGCCTCGTGCGTATGTGACGTCACAGTGAAGTGGTTAACGTTAAACGCGCCGCATGCGAGGTCTCATTTAAGGCGCTACCTCGTAAAAGTTTTCGGCCGACTGAATGCCTCGCACACAGAGGGATAGAAATATGATTTCTCAGTGCGAGGAAAGGGACAGCAATAGCGCGCGCGGCGCGGAATAAAATAACGTAAGCGACAAAAATCGGAAATCATGTATTTATTGAAAAACCAAACACTATTTAAAGAAAATAACTCGACCAGTACTTAGAATATGTTATTACCTTACCAATATACAAAATTTGGTATTGAAATATTAGCCTATCTGCTTATAAAACGAAAAACGGAGTAATAGAAGGGTCATCTTTGGATTTTTTTTCTATCGAGAAAATTGTTTCCATTCATGTTTCGGCTTCGACCAGACACTAGATTTATTAGTCAACTATGACATATTTCAAAATAAGAACATAAGTAATAAGAAAAGTACGATTAAAACTAATTCTGCGCTTTTTTAAAACGCCCAATATTCGCAAGGCATCACCTTAAGCGGTCGTACTATAAAAAACGTCGCGTTAAGACCGGTGTCTTACTGTTAGTAGAAATTCACAGACTTTTCAAGTCGTTCAAGTGACTTGGCACAACCGTGGGGGCAGCCCCGTGTGTAGCCGTCGTCGCGCGTACCTCTGGAAGACGCAGCGCCAGCCCGGCGGCGCCGCGGCCGCCTCGTGTGCCGCCAGCGCCGCGCGCGCGCCGCTCACCCAGCGCCGCCAGTAACCGCCGCTTAATGCGCCCGCGCGGAACGCCAGCGCCAGCGTCTGATAACAAGATATACAGGGTGGATTTTTGTAATGCCACCTGGAGGGAAAGTACTCTTAATACTGTAGATAGAACATTTTACTCAAAGAAAACATTCCCTTATTTTTTACAAGAAATAGAACCGCATTCAAAGATTTTCAAAAATTTGCTTGCCATACCCAGGAATCAAACCAACTAAAATCCGTTAAAAATTACACCCTGTATTTTTATTGCATCGATCGTTAGAGTGCAGTATAAAGATGAAATCTCCCTAACAGACTTGATAAATTAAATGATAGGAAAACCATGAAATCTTACATTATTTTCATTATATTACAGAAAATTTTATGGTATGGTAGTAAATTTTCGAAAAAAATTCGAAAATATTTGAATGTAATCCTAAATTCTTTAGAAATTTCCATCCATGGACCTATAAAAAAAGGCGGACGGAACTCGGGCTACAACAAAACTGTGACGCAAAATTTTGGCGTTTATCTATTGTGTGAGTGAATTTAGGGATGCCATGTTAGCCAAAACATTTTACCCATTTATTTTAAGAAAATCATAGATCGGCAGATGTTACTTGGAAATGTAGACAGAATTATTCCGTGCCATTTTAAAAGGATGAAAGGTGTATGCGTTGAGGTAGGCGCGAAATTTTCAATGTTCAAATTTTCTTACATTGTTTGCAAGTCAGTGTGTCAGGGTATGTACATAATGTGGATCAAAAATGATTCACGCAGTTACAAATTACGAATCTTGTGTACATTATAATCATAATCTTATGCATCATCAATATATTATTATTATCTCTGATAGATTTTTTTTAACATACAACCTGACACTGACTTGCAATCAATGTAAGAAAATTTGAATTTCGCAGTTCCACATTTTTGGGAAGGATCAAATTTGCCCATGAAAATATATCCCATTAAAACACAATTATTATGATAAATTATTTTATTTCCATAGTATGCGTAATACATAACTAAAAAGTCCTAAAATCATTATTAATTTCCCATATTTCGGGTAATTTTCCCACGTAAATAACTGAGAACACTGGTCTTTGACGTATTATTTTTTCGAGTGAATGACGTTTGATTTCAATTAATTTCAATATTTTAATGTCGGGAAATAAGTGATTGGATTATTATTTTGCCTGTGAAATGTGATTCCTTAATTTTTGTTTGTTCGAACAGAACGGTTTTTACACAATTTCATCACACAAGACATGTCGTATTCGTGTTGTTTTTTCGCTGCTTAAATGTGTCAACTGTGTGAAGTTTGCACTNTATTAATTTAAAATAAAATATAAACGAGGTTATATTCAACAAAGTATTTTTTCTTCATTGAATGCAACGACACACTTTGCGAAGAAGTCTTTGAATTTTATTCAGCTTTATTATACAGACGAGTGTCACATAGAAAAGGTCTTTCGACCACTTTTCAACTGGTATATGATTTTATTGTGCACTTTGTCTAGACCCACAGTATAATTTAAATTATATTTCCTTAACAAATAAAAAAGGGAAAATTAAAATTTCTTTGATTAAGAAGATCCTATTTTGACGATCACATTACTGATCTCAACATCAATCAGAAGAGGGATTGATATTAATAATTATACAAACGATCTTTGAAAATCTAGTCTGTTGCAGTCCGTCCGTAGTACATGACATTTACAGAATTGCGATTAACGAGAGATTTTGTCGCATCACTAGTAGATCAACTGACATAGACTAAAAATTCGTCAATGTCAGTTGGCCATATTTGTTTACATTTAGGGAAATTTCTAAAGAACTAAGGTATAGTTCTCTTTCTTTTCAAAAATAAAGGAATGTTTTCTTTGAGAAAATGTTTCTATCTACAGTATTAAGACTACTTTCCCTCCAGGTGGCATTACAAAATTCCACCCTGTAGATGACCCACGCTGAACTGTCCCACCAAACTCAATGACAGGGGGGCGCTACCATCGTTCAACTATATAATAATAATAATAATAATAATAATAAATAAATTTATTCAGTTAAACATTTGGATCTAACAAGGGGTGAACCCTGACACCGAAACTAGTAAAAATACTGTATTTTCAGTGTCAGTGATTCCTCGACATTTGTGGGCTAACATAGAGATATTTAAGTTTTACATGCTAGGACTATAACATGGAAATTTCAGCTGGTAACATAAAATAACATTAAGGTGATATGAATAGGAGCGATTTTACAGAACATTTTATAATCNTAATAACAAAATCATTTACTAAAACTTTTTAGCTAAATCTTCTAGTATTTTTTACTTTTTCTCAAAACCATAAATATGTCACTATTATAGGAACAAAGCCTGGTGATGCAAGTCAGTAATAGTCATTCTGGAGCATGCTTCTAGGATATTTTTTCATACTTCGCATCTTTGGTATCATTTATTTTGTGTCCTCGTACATATCCGTGTAATAAAGGCGATAGATTTTGTATTAGATTTCCAATCTCAACTGTCTCCAAGTCCGTTATTTTATCATTATCACCTGCCGCTTTTGGTTTGTACTAAACTGAACGGGTTGGACTGTTATTCGAGTTCAGGTGAAATAGTCAGCGTGAGTCTGACGAGGTCCACCCTTCCCATGTCAAATGTAACGACTTCTCATTTAAAAATAAAGTTGGCACTTTCATTATCAAACTCGCGTTTCTATGTTTTTTTCGTTCACCGACAATGTAATTATATGTCACTTGATATTGAATTCAAAAACAGTCTTGTAACATTTGTAAATAAAATAACATTTACAATTTAAATAACAATCATAAAAAAATCCATAATTCACAAATTAGATAACAATATAAATACCGACATGAATCACACAATAAAATCTGCCTCACAAGGAAATTATTCCTTTAAATACGAAAATAATAAAATAAACACGTTTTGTTACCTTGCTGTGAAACAAACACCCCAACAAGTATGACGATTGGTTAGAAACATGGCTTCGTAGTTAAAAGTCCAAATAAACTTTAGTGTCCGATAAAATGGTTTATAACTCCCAAGCTTTCCTCGTGCCCCCACGGTTATGCTTCAATTTACGAGTCTACGGTGAAATGTCTTTGAAATGATCAGTAATTAATATTCGGTACGGTAAAAAAACATGATTGATGATGACGGTATAGTAAACAGTTTTTCATAAGGCTTTTCGGTTTCACGCGGTTATTAACATTTTACAAAACGGTGAAATGGATATTGTTAAGTCGATGTAAAAAGATAGCAGTGCCTATGCAATCGCGGGATATTTTTGTTAACATTTATGGATTTTTAGAAGTGGTTTTTTTTTACTTTATTCACAAATTTTGTCAAACCTGTAATTCTATTGGTTTTTTATAAGAGTTTTACAGGATTCCAATGTTTTCCAAATATTTGTTGACATCTTAGTCAATTGAAATACTTTTTTCAAAAAGATTAGTCGCGTTGATTGTTTTGTTTAGACAAACTTATTAGTCGCACTACTCTACACGTAAGAGACGCGAAGACATAAACAACAAACAAACATGGTTAGATTGCGCACCGTTAGCGAAGAAACCAGTCGCTTGATCAAACAGAGCGAGGCACAGTCTGGGGCGGAGCCGCGAAACAATCTCTAGGCCGTCTAGCTCGGACAATAACTCGCAGTTCCGTCCCAAAGACTTTGGGAGGACACTGTCACGTTTTAGTGAGTAGGCCCTGCCCATCTGGCAGGGAAAGCCTTACATAACCGACCGGTTCCCTTGGGCCAGTTGGTGTGCAATTTTATGCATTTCCTGACGAAAAAAAAAGAAAAAAGAAACATAGTGATACCGACTAAAGCCTGGTCCGTGAGCACGTAGAATTTTGTCCAATGACCCCAAGCTACCCATCCTTATCGCTCGCGCGGAATTATATTGCTGTCGCGACTGTGCGACGCGCGCCCGCAGTGAGTGTGCGAGCGCGACAGCAACATAATTACGCGCGAGCGGGTAGCTTGGGGTCATTGGACAAAATTCTACGTGCTCACGGACCAGGCTTTACTTAATTTTTAACACCTGTAATATGTAATTTACCTATGTTCCACGAATAAACTAATTTTGATTTTGATTCATCTAAAAGCCTATTCCTGTGTCTAAAAAATAGTAAGATGGGTCTTAATGCGACGTTTATGTAAGCCTTGTCTTACTATTTTAGTTGAAATGAAACGCGAAAGTTTAAAACGTCGTCGCTCAAGTGACTTGGCACAACCGTGGGGGCAGCCCCGTGTGTAGCCGTCGTCGCGCGTACCTCTGGAAGACGCAGCGCCAGCCCGGCGGCGCCGCGGCCGCCTCGTGAGCCGCCAGCGCCGCGCGCGCGCCGCTCACCCAGCGCCGCCAGTAACCGCCGCTTAATGCGCCCGCGCGGAACGCCAGCGCCAGCGTCTGATAACAAGAACAAGATAAGGAATTCAAAAACTTATTTAAAAACAACCTTTTATTACATAACTTATTTAAAAACAACCTTTTATTGTCAGCAAGGCTCAGTTCACCTGCTTTTGCAGTGAGAAAGATAAGGCAATTAACTGGCATTGAAACGGCAAGGCTAGTTTATTTTAGCTATTTTCACAGTATAATGTCATACGGCATATTGTTGTGGGGCTCAGCTGCGGACATTGAAACTGTGTTTGTTCTGCAGAAGAGAGCAGTGCGGGCCATTTATAACCTTGGACCCCGATTTTCCTTGAGAGAATTCTTTAAGGAGATTAATATACTGACAGTAGCTTCACAGTTCATTTATGAAAACCTTTTATATGTTCGCAAAAATATAGAGCAATTTACTAGAAAAAGTGATTTACACAAGTTCAATACAAGAAACAAAAATTAACTTGCCGTTCCAAATTTCAGACTGCACAAGATTGGTAATTCATTTATGGGGAAATGTATTAAACTTTTCAATAAATTACCACAAACTGTTGTAGAATTGCCCATTCATAAATTTAAAGCACATATCAAAAGCACCATAATGAAAAAGGACTACTATAAAGTTGATGATTAATATAAAAGATAAAAATGTTTGGAATGTTTAACTACCTATCTCGCATCAATACTTATGACTATAATATTTTGTATATTTTAAAGACTGTAAACCCTTGAAAAGGAGGCTGACAATAGTGACTGAATTTCTTGCGCTGCTTCTTCTCAGCACTGGCCCATTTATTGTCCCGAAGCAGTAGTAAGGTTAATATTGGGACGTGTAAAAGTGCTTTCTAAAAGCCTATTTGCAAAAATAAATGAATTTTATTGAATTTAATTTTTTAATTTTTAACTAGCGGCCGCCCGCGTCTTCGTACGCGTGGATCCCGTTTTAACCCCTTAGGGAATGAATTTTGCAAACCTCGCCGTAAAAACCATCCTTGGACTTCAACGAATATTAAAAAAAGAATTGGTAAACTTGGTCCAGGCGTTGTTGAGTACCATCGAGCTACGCGGATCGCTCGCTTATCATGTCGGATAGCTTTTGAAGGAAGCCACGTAAAGTAGGTAGTGTAAATAGGTATTTTTCTTTGACTAACTAAAGTTAAAGTTCGTTTTCAATTTTTTTTAAAGCAAATTTTTTTACTTATTCGTGATCAGAATAAGCTACTTAATCAACTATCTAAATATGGCGAGGATTGAAATCAATACCCTATAGATTATACCGTATATGCGCAGGGCCCAAAAGATAAACAGACATGTAGAGAGCCACATACTATTATTTGTAAGACATTCATAGATGCCAAAATTTTGGCCAAAACTGGATGAATAATATTTGTATTCTCACGAATTAAATGAACCCAACCTCGATGAGGTTGTGCCATTTTACTGTGGAGCTCCTATGGCCACCTTCCAGTTCCATCTGCAAATCAGCTCGGTGTCATCATAATATTACATTGTCACATGATTTACACATGCATACCAAAGTTTCAGCTCTATAGATTTCATTACAGACACTGGACAGGTGAAATTGTAACTTCATCAATCTTCACCCCAAGACGGCTGTTCATTCCACAAGGAGTAGGTAGTTTGTAGTGCTATAATTTATCATTAATAAAACTAATCAGTATAAAACTATACATACCTGCATCTGAATCATCATCTCTTGCACTGGAGACACGGGATTTGGCTGCAACTGATTCAAGTATTTCAGCTTGGACTCCACCAGTTCCGACATGTCATCCAGATCTTCATCTTTCTTGTCCTCGTTCAAAATCTCTCCCTTCGTAAACATCAAACCGTTGCCATAACTTATTGTGTTTGTTTTCTTTGTACTAGTATCAGTCTCAGTATCATCTTTACTGAAACCTAATCCGGTCCTTTCACTCGTAAAACCTTCAATGAACTGTGAATATTTCGTAGTATACGCTGGAGTCTCAACCTTCTTTGGTGGCAATACCGAATTCGATATTCTTAACTTCTTTCTGGAAGTATTTTCTATGTTTTCTCCAGCACCCATAAGGTACAAATTCGTGCCTTTTTTCTCTGTGACAATTGGGTTTTCTTTCACCTCTTTATCAATACCATTCTCTTGTATGTTTGCAGAGCTAGGAAATAATGAAGTTGTAGGAGGACGCAGGCCGCTACCAATCGATCAACATGGAAAGCATTGGGGGAGGCCTATGTTCAGCAGTGGACGTCCTGTGGCTGAAATGATGATGATGATGATGAATTTTTTGTAAGACGCTTAAAAAGTGTTTTCACCCCTTTTTTCAAGATGGCGGTTGGGGGGGACAAGGGTGGCGACGCCAAAAACTTCTACTGGCCACATTGACCCACACATGTCCCAAAAATAAAATTGCGTTCTCTAATAAATGCAATACTCGGAAAATTGCCGGAAAATGATGGGAGTTTTATTTTGCTTTTTTTTATGTATTACACTGTTTAATTCTCACAATTTCATTCACGCAAGTGACTTGTGAGGGACGATTTTCAGCATTAAAGCGCATTAAAACGAGACTTCGTTCTCTACTGGGGCAAGAACTGTTAGATTCGTTAATTATACAGTGTGAGTCACGATAAAGTGTACATATGAAATTAGGTGAAACTAGACCTATTTTTATCGACAAAAAAGAGGTCAATTTTTTTTTTGAGATTTTTATTTAATTTTTTATATTTTTTTTTCTTAAAATTACGAAAACGTAATAACTTTTAAACTAAGAGGTATATCCTGATAAAATAAAAACAGTAATAATGCTAAATAATAGACGATACTAAAATTATACTAAGAAAATGCCAACAAATAATAAAAAATGATACTTTTTGAAAAAAATCTGCTTATAAATTCGTGTTTTTTTTTGTTTTCTCCAAAAAATGCCCCTATAACAGGTGGTTTTTATTGCTTTGTATTATTTTCTATCGTATTACCTTTGTAAAACCAGAAATCGCATGTCTCTATCCCTATCACAACATTTTCTATGATAGTTTGAACAAAGGCCTACCACAACATTATTCTACGCTACAAAGGCCTACCACAACATTATTCTACGCTACAGGTAGGGACAATTTTAATTTTAACTAAAATGCTTATTTTACTTCGAAATCTTTTGTTTTTATTTGAAATCTAACTTGTCTTTATCAAAATTACAAATTTCAGCCATTTTCAGTTTCGTTGTTAACGAAGCGTTGAATGGCGCGCCCGGAGAGGCTTAGTTCAAACGATCATAGCAAATGTTGTGATAGGGATAGAGACATGCGATTTTTGGTTTTACAAAGGTAATACGATAGAGAATAATACAAAGTAATAAAAACCACCTGTTATAGGGGCATTTTTTGGAGAAATTTATCAAATAACCAAAAAAACATGAATTTAAAAGCAGATTTTTTTCAAAAAGTATATTTTTGTATTAATTGTCGGCATTTTCTTAGTATTTTTTTAGTATCGTCTGTTATTTAGCATTATTGCTGTTTTTATTTTATCAGGATATACCTCTTAGTTTAAAAGTTATTACGTTTTCTTTACAATAAATAATTGGAAGAAAAAAAAATCTATAAAAAATGAAAAAAGAATCTCAAAAAATTTTTGACCTTTTTTTTGTGGATAAAAATAGTTCTTTTTTTTTCGTCAGGAAATGCATGAAATTGCATACCCATAGGCCCGGGGGAACCAGTGGGTTATGTGAGGCTCTCCCTGCTAGATGGGCAGGGCCTACTCACTAAAACCTGACGGTGTCCTCCCGAAGTCTTTGGGACGGAGCTGCGAGTTATCCGAGCTAGACGGCCTAGACATTCTTTCGCGGCTCCGCCCCAGACTGTGGCTCGCTCTGTTGGTCTGAGCAAGCGACGACTGGCTTCAGGGGAGTAGTAACTACCTCCCCTGTTCTTCACTAACGGTGCGCGTGAACACATACGGATAAAAATAGATCTAGTTTCACCTAATTTCATATGTGCACTTTATCGTAACTCACACTGTATTAAATACAGAATCGAATCTAATCAAGGATTACGAAAACAGCAGCTTTTACGATCGAGTCATTAACTGCTTAGCTGAAAGTTCTCCTGTTTTAATAAAAATGTTGATTGGCTAGCTTTATATTATTATTTGTTATTAGTAAATACCTACTTATTATTTTACTTTATTTAAGTATTGTAATATTTTTTTTACAGTTTGTTTGTTTATCTCAATTTGTGTAAGTATCTCAGTATTTTTCGATAGTATCCCATCACCATGATCTAGTCTCGGGCCTCGGGATTGCGATCAGCCACCCGGGCCCTTCCGGCCCAGTCCGACCCTNCTATTTCAAGTACACTACATAATAACCATTCGGTTTCAGTTACTGCGAGACTACTATTATTTTTTGGGTCTATCTTTCGCTTTCCCTCATGCCATCACCACACTAACGCCAGTATTCACAAACATTATTATGAGGTCCCACAGTGGGCGTGGACGCACAGGGCGACACACGAACCAATCACAGAGCTCTATTCAGTGCTGTGCGTTCGATTTTCTGCTTCACTTAAGCAAGCATCGTTTGTGAATACGGGCGTTAAAGTGAGAAGGATGGAAAGAGGGGCAACCCCGCTGCTTCAGAGAGTGTTTGTTAAACAAGCCGTGTCAGATCCTGTAGGGAGCATTAAGTCAGACAGCAGCGGTTCAATTCCCAAATAAGAATATTTCCGTTCCTCTCACACAAAGCAAGATGCCAGCATGAGCGACAGTGACAGAGACACTAGATCACAAACTACGTAAACGGCGTTTCGCAGTAGAACTGCAGGGTACAACAGCTCACACGACTAGGCAAAGATCTGCAAACCCAATGGTTCCAGTTTTCATGTTTTCCATGATGTAAACGTTATAGCCTTTTATTACCTCTTTGAACTTAATGGGTGTTTCATAGAAGCTGCTCTGCAAATAGATTTCAGGAAAATGGTTGGGCAAGATAACTTCTTGGAAAGTCTTTCCTGACAATGGGTACCTTCCCGAATAGAATAGATTTCTATTCTACCATCCTTAATAGATCAACTCTTTCCAAAATACAAAAAGGGTTTTAGGCATTTCATTTAGTTACTTATAAAAACCACTAGTCTCAGATAATTTTCAGTTTGTCATAAAATAACCCCCCAAAAGTAACTGGAATTCTGTTATCAAATAGAATACAGATTGGGAGGCGAATTGTAACGTAGGGACGCTTACAATGGACCGAAACCTGACGCAGTGTTACTAGGACTACAGTCTCCATAGTCCTAGAAGAAGATATATAAAAACACTTAAGTATTTCATAAAACAAACTTGTTTATTCGTTGCCTATACCTAACTGCCTCTGATAAAATCTTTCACATTATAGTTGGCTAGAATAACGTCTTCCACGAGTCCAGAACGGAGTGCTGGTCTAATTATATCTGCAAGGCTATTAAACAGAATAATTAGAAGCACACCAGATTGTCACGAAGCTTGTGACGTCACACTGCCCACATCCCATTAAGGAAGCCCACGGATATTATCGACTTAATATCTTAACGCGATACAAGAGCAAACGCTGGATCATACACACTTGTTGCGTCTATAATAATAAAAACGCTTTTGCTATAATATATCATTTATTCGGAACAGCATTTCTATAATGTTAGAAGAACGATTACTTAAAACTTAAATTGCTGTAGTGTAGCTACAATCCATCCATCCATCTCCAGTGGTGAAATTGCGAAAAAAGTTAAAAAAAAGCTACTAGACTACCATCGTTGTTTAATAAGTAAGACTTGCTTCGACATTAACATCCAAGTGGTTCGAGTGGGTGAATCAAATAACAGAATGTTCAATCTATTCAAAAGCTTTTGATCTTATTCAATATCAACGTGCGTACGAACGAAATATTCATTTCCGTTTCCCCGCTGTTACGTCAAATTGAAACGGACAAAGCGAGCGTCATTATTAATTTGAAGAAATGCTAATTTGATGTTTGGATCCAATTTCAGGAACATTTTAGCCATAATGGAGTTAGGGCCCTAAAAACAAACGACTACGGACGAAGGGACATCAAGGTAAACAATATGGTACCTTGTTCAGTTGTTTTTAGGGTGTTTTTGCACACACAAAAATATGCTCTCATGTGCTGTTGACAGTACAAGAACAAATTCCAAAATTCATTAATTTTATTAATCGTTTATTTTTACGTGGGTTGGCGCTATATTGGGAGTTTACCCCTTTTTCGGTTGCTCGTGCTTAATGGTGAATATGTAGCCTTGCCTGTGCTTTTTTTTGCTTACCTGTAATGAAGTTTAGAAAATGGTGGTCCACAAACAATTAGCCGTTTGTTACGTATTGTCGTTAGCTAGAGGATAGCAAATGTTAGAACTGTGTTCACCACAATAACCTCCCATTGGACATGGAATCAGCGGCTTCTCAAATAGTAGTCTGTGGGCTGAGTGTGAGTTTACATCAACGTCCTCACTAGTGAGCGCGTTAAGAAAAATATGAAAATTTTAGTACTTGAAAGTTTCCGCTAGGGGCGCTGTACAATCCGTCATACATATTATGTAACATTTTACGCAGTCGATATCGAATCGAATTCGTTTGACGTAAACTCACACCACGCCTCCTGTAATGTGAACTCAGTATGAGAAATGGTTGCACTAAACTTATTTTGACAATCAAAATTGTCACGTTATCGTTTAATTCGAAGGTTGAGTATCGAATTTTGTCGAATACGCAAACGATTCGAAGACGAAAGTTGTTCATGCTAGAGGTACTGATGCTGGAACCGTTGATTGTCGCCTCAGTAGGGTAGACCGGGGACAATAGTACCATTTTTTGGAAATTGTTCAATATTGAGAAATCTAATGAAATATAACTTATTCTGTTATGATTCTGTAAAAACTAGACTCTTAAGCTACAAATTTAAGCATGCAGAGTTGAACTATTCTTTCGAATACTTAATGAAAAACGAATTTGAACTGTACGATGTCTCATGTTACAATTGACCCCTACAACGGGTCAATTGTACCAATAATATTTTAATAATAATAAATAAATAAATAATAAATAAATTTATTCAGTTAAATATTTGGATCTAACAAGGGGTGAACCCTGACACCGAAACTAGTAAAAATACTGTATTTTCAGTGTCAGTGATTCCTCGACATTTGTGGGCTAACATAGAAATATTTAAATTTTACATGCTAGGACTATAACATGGAAATTTCAGCTGGTAACATAAAATAACATTAAGGTGATATGAATAGGAGCGATTTTACAGAACATTTTATGTGTGTGTGTGTGNTAGTTTTCTTTTTTACCTCGAATCTATTGAGAGTATAGATATGTGTAGACTTATGTATCCTGTTGTATATAATTGAGGAGAGGGCTGCATATTGACGTCTAGCTAAGGCAGTACGGCATTTTATCGTGGGACACACGTGAGTTGAGGCTCGTCGGTGATTAAGGACATCCTTATCAAGAGGAAGAGAGGCGTGTCTTCGCAAAATACTTCGAAGAATGAAAAGTTGCCGAACTGTGAGGACCTGGCAGTCCAAGTATAACAGGTTGGTAGAATATCTAATGCGGTTGTGAGTCATTACCTTTAAGATGGCTCTTTGGGCCCGCTCCAAATTCAGCATCAGGGTACTGCCAGCACCTCCCCAGACCGGGATGCAGTAAGACAGTAAAGATTGGCATAAAGCAAGATATATAATTTTGATGGTTTCCTGGTCGACCAAGTGTCTGATGGTCTTAAATATATAAATTAACTTGCGCACCCTACCATTCAAAGTTTCAATCTGTGGACGCCACTTTAGGTTTGAATCAATAATGACCCCAAGGTATTTTACGTTGTGAGTGATGTTTAATGGGTGACATCCACACGATGCTGACGGCAAATTGCAGGTGTGCACGACAATATTACAGGCATCGGTTGGTGGAGAGGAGGTAGATGAGATGTAAAAGGGGAGAATATGTGTCTTCTTTAAGTTTAAGGTGAGAAGATTTGTTGAAAGCCAGTCAGTCACCTTTTCCAGAGCAGCCCGGACATATTGCTTAGCACTCCTCCAGTCATTGCCATATACCAAAAGTGCAGTATCGTCTGCGTAAGCGAATACACTACAGTTTGGTATTTTAAGTTTGCACAGATCGTTGACATATATCTGGAAGAGGGTAGGTCCCAGTATGCTGCCCTGTGGGACGCCATAGTCTATGGACAGAATGTCACTAACGTACGGGCCGATCTTGACGCATTGTTCCCTGTGCAGAAGATAACTTCGAAAGATGCTAAGCTCCCGACCACGTATGCCATGGGATTCCAACTTATCGATCAAGATGGGAATTGAGACCGTGTCGAAGGCCTTGGAAAGATCAAGAAAAACACCGAAGCACTTCTTTTTGCCGTCAAGCTTGTTTACTACTTCACTTGTGAGACTAGCGACAGCGTCCTCAGTGGAGATTCCAGATCTAAAGCCGAATTGATTTTTTGCTATCAAGTTATATTTATCCAAAAATTTAACTAGAGCATTGTTTAATATCCTTTCCAAGACCTTCGAGAGAACGGGCAGGACAGATATTGGCCTGTAATTAGCCGCATCATTTTTATCCCCCTGCTTAAAAATGGGACTAACAAGTGCTCTTTTTAGTATCCTAGGGAAGACACCGGTAGAAATTGAAAGATTACACATGTGCGTAATTGGTGGTATCAGAACATTCCTGCAAGTTTTTACTAAGGTCGGAGTGATTTTATCCCAGCCAGAAGAGCATTCATCTCGCAGACCCATAATAATGCGCTCCACCTCCCCGAAATCAACCTCGGTAAGTGCCAGAGAGTTTATTGGATTAACGAGAACCGATGGCGAGGTTGTAATTGGAGGAGTTATCTTAGCAGCTAGATCATTTGCTATATTGACGAAATACTTGTTTACAGAGTTTAAAGCAATTTGAGGATCGCTGTTTTTAGCTAGAAGTTCACGTGGAGGTTCTGCGTTACCAGTAGAGTGAGTCACTTCTTTTACCACTTTCCACATAGCTTTAGGGTTATTTTTAGCCTTATTAAACTCAGATCTTTGATATTCACGCTTTAATTTATGAAGAAGATTATTCAAAAAGTTGCGGTACCTTTTATAGGTAACTTTGACTATATGATTTTCTGGATCGTGACGTAGCTGTTTATGAATTTTATCCCGGTTTTGAATGCATCGCAGTAAGCCTGGTGTGATCCAGGGTTTTAGAATATTTTTCCTACGAGTTGTCACAACCGTTATTGTGTGTGCATTAATAATGTTGGTAATAATGGATACTAACCGATCAGCTGCTTGGTCTGCATCCAGGGTACATATTACAGAAGTAAAGTCAGCATTAGTGAGAGCTCTTTTGATGGATTCATGGTCTGTTTTAACAAATGTTCTAAGTGTTTTAGAGTTTTTAAGGGGGCCACTTTCAAGGCACAGCACAATTGGCAAATGGTCAGTTATCATGCAGTCCAGAATCAGAGCATATGATTTCCAACATGGCAAAAATCGGAACCAGCGATCCGGCATTGACTTGGCGCCCAGCTGTCAATGTCATGGATAGGACAGTTCAGTATTTTGGAACTATAAATCTAAATATACAGGGTGGAATTTTGCAATGCCACCTGGGTAAATTTTCGAAAAAAATTCGAAAATCTTTGAATGCAGTTCTATTTCTTTAAAAAAATAAAGGAATGTTTTCTTTGAGTAAAAATTTCTATCTACAGTTTTAATAGTACTTTTCCTTCAGGTGGCATTACAAAATTCCACCCTGTATAAAAGGAGAAACAAACTGACTCACTGACATATCAACGCACAGCCTGAACGGCTAAACGTAAGCACTTGAAATTTGGAAGGGACGTAGCTTAGGTACCGTAGAGGTGCAATAAGAAAGGAATTCCCGAAATTGCCACGGGAACGGGAGTTAGCGGGAAAAAACATTTGTATGAAAAAAGGGATTCTACGTGCTCACGGAAAAGGCTTTATAACGTGCCACGTTTGGTACCGCGCAAACGTGTGGTTAATTGCTGCCACGAGTGGCCGTCACCGATGAGGCGGTGACACGCTAAGTTACAAGTCGCGAGTGGACAGCACACGCATGCAGCGATACCATACAACACATGTTAAAAGTCATGTCATGTATTATAGCTTATCGCCAGCCACAAGTGGCTGTAATAGATATCTCGTTTGCGCGCAGTCTAAGTTAAGATACGCCTGTCTCAGAAATATACCCAGGAGCAACGCCGAACTCCCATTGAATGTTAATTTTTTCAGCCCAGCGAGATCGACTAAAACTTTAATTGCTTAAAAATGTGTTTGTTTCTTTGTAAGACAATTTAGAATTAAACTATAGGATATGGCCCCGAAAGATGAATGAACAGAAAGACTTCTTAATAAGTCTTATTGACACCCTTAACACATAAAACTGAAATCATAGCTTTTTTAAGCTTAAAAAACTAATGTCCAAGGTAAAAATATGAAATGATACATCATCAACAGCCCTTTACAGTCCACTTCTGGACTATGAGCCTCCTCCACTATAGTGGAGGGTTTTGCCATAATCTCCACGCTTGGCAGGCGGGTTGGAGATAGCAGTTTAAAAGATTGATGTTTTTCAGAGAGCGCTGCTGCCCATTCTCTGTTTGATGTGTAGTCCCTAAGTCGCCTCTTACGACACCCGCGGGAAGAGTAGGGGTAATGATACATACCTGCATCTGAATCATCATCTCTTGCACTGGAGACACGGGATTTGGCTGCAACTGATTCAAATATTTCAGCTTGGACTCCACCAGTTCCGACATGTCATCCAGATCTTCATCTTTCTTGTCCTCGTTCAAAATCTCTCCTTTCGTAAACATCAAACCGTTGCCATAACTTATTGTGTTTGTTTTCTTTGTACTAGTATCAGACTCAGTATCATCTTTACTGAAACCTAATCCGGTCCTTTCACTCGTAAAACCTTCAATGAACTGTGAATATTTCGTAGTATACGCTGGAGTCTCAACCTTCTTTGGTGGCAATACCGAATTCGATATTCTTAACTTCTTTCTGGAAGTATTTTCTACGGTCTCCCCAGCACCCATAAGGTACAAATTCGTACCTTTCTTTTCAGTGACAATCGGATTTTCTTTCACCTCTTTATCAATACCATTCTCTTGTATGTTTGCAGAGCTAGGAAATAATGAAGTTGTGGGCNATGGATTCGTGGTCTGTTTTAACAATTGTTCTAAGTGTTTTAGAGTTTTTAAGGGGGCCACTTTCAAGGCACAGCACAATTGGCAAATGGTCAGTTATCATGCAGTCCAGAATCAGAGCTCTAGAAGGTAGATTTGATTTCAAAAGTATATGATCTAAACAGTTTTCTAAGCGTGTAGGATACGTATGGGCCGGTAGCAGACCAAGTGCTGCGGTAGAAGTAAGGTAATAATTAGAGAATCTGTCATTGTTATTGGTTTTAATGTCGATGTTTAGGTCCCCCAACAGAGAAATGTTTCTATATGTGTCGAGACTAAGGACAAGATTGTTTAAACTAGATATAAAGTTGTCTATATTAGAGTATGAAGGGGATCTATAGATGCCTATAAATGCAAATTTGTCATCTATTGTACAAACTAAGCAGTTACCGTCCTCGAATCTGGGTTCCCACACGGAAACATTTAGACCTTGTTTTGCATAGATCACTACACCGTCATTCTGCAGTCTGTTGTTACAGGTATGAAATGAACTATATCCATCTATCTGTGGTATTTTATTTATATTCTTAAGCCAACACTCGCTTAAAATTACAATATCAAGGTTGAGCTTCGTAGTACAAAGCATAGCCGTGAACTGATCAATATTTTTGTTAATGCTCCTAATATTCATGTGAATTATTTTGAGATGCTTATTCGGATTACCTAATATTTGTAGACATTGACCTGGTTGACATCTGAGAGAGTCAGCAACATTAAATGAGTCTAGCTCATTGGTTATATTGTTTAGTTCAAGCTCCGTGACAATTAACTATGCGTCATCTTTTTCTGCAATATTATGGGTTCGCCCAAGCTAAGAATATTAGGCATTTCAGATTTTCGATTAGGAGTTTTGCAATTATTAAATTGTTTTAAAATAAGAAATAAAAAGAGCAGCAGGTCTGCAAGGTAATGGCCACCAGAAGTATGCGAAAGGAAAACATAATTAAATATTGAATGTTTGCTATAATCACTTTTCCCTAGAATGTGTGTATGTGGTGTGGTATGTGATGGATAGGTTATTATGTATTTTGTTTGATGTGTGTTGTGTTTGTGTTTTGTGTGTGAACAAAGTGGATGTCTTGTTTTACAATCAGTATTACATTTATGCAATAGACAGCTTACAGGTACTTTACTATTATTTAAGAACTGTGACACTAAGATATTATCTGACAGCAAATAAAAAATGGGAAAAAACAGATAGTCATTGACCACTTTCAAGATCACGTAAGCACTGTTCCGATTTAACGTGGATTTGTTTCGAACCGTGTTCCTTGCGAAGAAACACCTTGGAATTCGAGGTCCAACAGTAGTTATAACCATTCTTCTTAGCGTAGGTACGGGCTTCGAAGTAAAGCTTTTTGATCGAAGCTGACAGATGTTCGTCGATGTAGATGGGAGTCTTGTCCGTTGTCATTCCTATGTGTTGAGTATTTAGTTTGTCTGCCGGTCCACGAGATCTATTGAAGTTACGTACAGAGGTTAATAAGTCATATTTCTTTTGCACCTTATTGAACTCCACTACTATAGTTCTGTTTGTACCAGGTTTTCCAGATCCTCTATAGATATCTCTAAGGTCCTCTGGCTCAAGTTTAGAGTTTATGGCATTTCCGATACTGCATACAATTTTTGTAAGATCTGCAGTTGTCTCCTTTTCACTCTGGGGGATATTGCGAAGGTCAACAGTGGCGGAGCGAGACATCCGCTGTTGCTCCTGGATTTTAGTCTCTAACGACAGTATGCAGTCTCGGTTTTCCTTCTCGTCTCTTTCCAGATTTTTTATTCTAGTTTGCAATTCTTCGTATTGTCCATGTATAAATTCTAATGATTTTTCGAGTTCCTGGTGACATTTTTGGATGTCACTACATTTTACCTTAACTTCCCCTATATCCGAGACAATTTTTTTTTAGCACCGAGTCCTGGTCGTTTCTCCAAGATGCAAAAACCGAGTCCTGCTCACGTCTCCAAGATGCGAGCATGTCCCTAATCTCATCTTTGAATTCAGAAAATCGATCATCATCCTTGTCTTGGGGGGGAGATATTGGTATTGTTTTATCCATGCGTAGACGCTTGTTACGTACGACGCTCACGAAAGAGCTTTCAATCTCACGTCCTATTCTTGACGGTATGTCGGGTTCTGACTGTACCTGCGGGCCTGAGTTGGAGCTCGAAGGTGTTGGCGATCGATGAAGCGGCATATTTGTATCCAAATGATTTCAAGTCTTAGTACAGAAACGCCGGTATCAGCTTTGTTTTTATCGCACGGCAGCGGTAGAATCACAGACACACGCACGATGAAGGATGTCCAGTTAAGTTGACACGGAGCACAGTGGGATTCGCACGGTAACGGNTTGTGGGCGCATCTACTATATTCTTACTACTAGGGAATAACGGTTTGATTTCTTCTCCAGGTGGAGACACATTTCCATTGCTACGAGGCGAATTTTTTGCACTATCACTTGTTTTCACTTCTTCACTGAAGATGTCAATTTTATTTTTTACTTTAGGCAATTCTTTCTTTTCAATTTGTTCTAATAAATCATCAATATCTCCGATAGACCTGCTATCTGTTTCTGTATCATTTCCTTCATGAACTACTAGGGGAGAGGATGCTTTTGAATTTGTTTCTGATCGAATTATTTCTTGTAATTCTGCCGGTAGCTCACCACCAAGCTTTTCAAGGAGTTTAGCTTTGTCTTTCAGTTTGTTAGCAATAACGATTCATCTTGACTGTCATCGTTTTCAGTCGGTGTTGGAGTGGATGTTGATGTCTGAAAGAATAAAAATAACGTCATAATTTCTGCTGATAATTTCTTAAAGATCCTAAAATTCTAGTTTTATCAGATTGAAAACTTAACCATCACATTGCTTGATGACAAATCCAATAATTTTGAGAACAGTATTTATCTTACTAGGACTTCTGAAATAATTTGTTGTACAAATTATGGCAGAAATGCATGAATAAGATCACTAAGAAAGCCATGTGCAATCATTAGCATTTTGAGATAAATGAAATGATCACAAATGGTGGAGTAAATACTAAAGTAAATAAATCTTCACCTAGACACTCTCAAAAGAATTAGAATGTCATACTTTTAGCATTTTCAGGTGCAGAAACTCATCATAAGAAAGGAAACTTTAAAAAGAAAATAAATTAATCGTTAAAAAAATCTGAGTTATTTGTGCTACAAAAATCCAATTACCTCTTCTATAACGGGTGCAGGTGGCGTCTCTTTGACTTCTTTAGGTGTCTCTACTAAGAACTCAGGAGGAATCTCTGGTCCAATAGGGACTGTGTATTCCTGATTTGGTGGCAGAGCCGGTCCAAACTCTTTCGGTTGCGATTTGCTCTTTGACTTTTTAGTTTGAACTTTGGGCAGTTTTGGTGGCTTAGGCGTCGTAGCCGGTGGTGGTTTGGGTGGAGATTTCACTGGACTCTCTTGCTCATCATTAGAATCAGAGTCAGAGTTGTGATATGATGTGATTAATTCTATTTTGCTGTAAATAAAATGGTTAAATAATATTAAAATTATTTTTAGAATAAGAATAAGTACGTATAAAATAAACTGACGTAACAATCGAAATTAATTACACATTCATTATCATTACTATTATAAACAACTGTTTAAATATACTCACTCTTCATCCACATCACTAGCTCTCCGTTTGCTACCAGCTTTGGTAGGTTTGTCTGTGGGAGTAGTAGTTTTCTTAACAGGCTTGACAGCGGGAGGTTTCGATATCACTTTGGTCTGTGTATTCTGTTTCTCAGCTAAGGCTTGCTGGTACAACTGCCACTCTTCAGCTGATACTTCTGTAGCTCCTGAAATTATACAATAATGTGTGATAATTGTCTTAACAGTCACGCAAGATAAGCAGGCTAACAATTCAAAATTCTTCAAAAGAATATTTATTGTAAAATAATCAATACCTACACCTAGGAACTTGAAGGAACTAATGGTTTGGGCTCAGTTTTGTTATTACCAACTTTCTCACTTATTTGATTGAGACCATATTGACTTAGTTATCTTATTTGATACTGTGTATTTACTGCACCAAAACCAAAAGTATTTTAACAAAAATATCTTACCAGAAGTATGTAATTGTTGTTGGGCCAGCTTCAAAGCTAATAGATATTCAGGAGGAGCCTCCCAAGTCACTGCATTTGTAACTTGGTTCCAGTAATATGTGAAGCCACTGTTCTCATCATAGCATGCTGACCAGGCTGAAATTTGATTAGATTACATTAATACACCTACTAATAAATATACCTACAAGCTTAAAGAAAGAAAAAATTACGTAATATGGCATAAAATATATTAGAAAAGCACCTCACAACAGTCAAAACTTTATTTATTGTACCAATGTAATTGGCAGTTGTGGTATTATAAGCAGTCATGGTATTTTATTCTGTTGATGATCATTGAATAAAGCAAAATTTATTTATTTATTATACAGTTACAGTACATAGAAATATTTATATTCACAAAGAAATACCAAAGAGAACTCTAACTTATCATAGAATAATATTGTTATCAGTTATTAGAATCTGTTTACTAATCTGCACAATATTTATTCAATAACTAGCTGACCCGGCGAACTTCGTACCGCCTTATATCAATCTTTCTGAGAGATTTTCTTAATATTTTTTTCCGTAAGAACCATCCTTGGACTTCCACAAACATTTAAAAAAAAGAATTATCGAAATCGGTTCAGCCGTTCACACGTGATGCCGTGACAACGCGAAACGGGTTTCATTTTTATATATATAGATCAAAATATCAGATGCAACTTTGGAAGTTATTTCACAAACTTACGAAACAATGATTATAATGTGTCATTTATTAAAACGCATTTTGATGGTCATCTCGCGTTATTTGATGCGATTTAATCCTTGAAAACATTGAATAGTAACTTGGGTCAGTGTATAGGAAACGGGGCGCTATGGGGCACGAGACTTAGAAAAATTTTTATGAAAAAATTTTTTTTTTTGAATTTTTGGCTTTTTTTGCCGGGAATGTTTAGAATAGATAAAAATAAGACTAATCTTCAGATAACCTTTTTTTCTAGGACCAACCGTTAACTTTCTAGAGCCAATTAATTGCTCTAGAAAGCAATACATTTGTAGGTTATAATAATATGCAGTATTATTGACAAACAGGGATTTTACTCACGACAGTGTGGAATCGGAGCCGGATGGATAGCACCAGATTCTGCTGCGTATGCGGTCCCCGGGGGCGGTGGGCCAGCAAAGCATTGAGCACCAGGACCAGTTAAATTGCCTTTACTTTTCGCTTTTGAGTTATCTCCTCCGTCATCAGAATCATCATCTGAGTCACCGTAATTGCCAATTAAACCCGCTAGCGCATTAGCTTTACTCATTTTGTTAGATTCCAATCCAAAAAGATTATTAGGTCCGAGAACACAGCTCTAAAGCGACTTGACAAAAATAGCACAGTAGTTTAGGAATATTATCTTTAAAAAGTATTAAACGAACACTAGCACTTTTAATCAGTCGCACGACATTCTAGTTTTAGTTCTACTATAAACACAGTTTCACTTCACTGTTGTTGCATTTTTGTCAAAATACTGAATGGTTTTTTGCTTTTTTTTGGCATGAGTTCGCGTCAAAAACGTCGTGGTGATTGGTGAACCACAGACTAGATGACAGTGCGTGCTGTTTTTTTTAACATTATTATTACTCTGTAGTCTATGATTAATGGCCTATTCCCCTATTCCAAAGTCTTTGGCCAACCAACAACGAGTACGCAAACACGCCACGAGAGAGCGCTACTCGTATCAAAAGTAGAAGACGCGGGAACTACCAACGACATTCAAAGTAAATGGCGCGCGCGTGCGAGTGAAAAACCGCAACAATAGTGTCAAAACCCGTTGTTTTCACGAAAGATGTTGTGAATTGTGCAGCGTGTGTGCAACAAGATTCGTAAAGTCTATTGGATGTAAGTCCCGGCCGGACAAACTTCAAAACCAGGACTTGCAAATAAGTGTCGACCGGCAGCGTTGGCCAAGTAAGTTCCTCCAAAACTTCCTACCTGTAGCCATGCTCTATGCTTGTAGCGGGCCAGTCACCCCCCAGGTCCAACTTTCTTCAAATTAAAATACCTTTTACAGCCTTTTACTTATGTTATAAGTTATCCGACGATGGTAAAATCAGCCCTAAAGCGTTCGTTCGTAGCGTTCTATTTCAAACAGCTTCATACCCTATTTAAATAAACACCTTGAATTTTAATATTTTGTACACAAATAAATAAGGTATTAAGGTTTTATTAATCTAAGGTATTAAGTATTAACATTAAGTAGTTAAATAAAGAATAAAAATGCGATTTATTTTGTAAGTTTTATTATTATTATTTAGGCACATCGCAATGTAAACATATAAAATTTAATTAAGTACCTAATACATTGTTAAATATAATCTGAAGATAAATCTTTTACAAATAAGTAAGCATATTATTTTAATATTGTCTTACTTATTTCAATTCAAAATAATAATTACATAATGTCACTTCTGTGATCAAATAAATTGCAGGTAAGTAAATACAGACACTTTTAATTCAGTAATTTTTATTCAAAAGGTAACTTTATTGAAAATGGCAAACTAATTTAATTGTTACATAAATATTAATGTATAATAAAGCTTGCCAGAGTTTGATGAAGCAGTGGAAGCTTTAAGGTTACATGGCATGTGCCCGGATGAGAGCTTACATTGATTTTTCAAATATAAATCTATAAAATAATCAGATAAAAACATGTAAATGGTACAAAATGCATTACAATTAAATAATCTTAATTAATCTATCATTTTAAAATTATTATACACATTTTGTTTCTATCGTATACTTAACCTCGTAAGACCGAAGAGTAAATATTGTCGACTTCTAAGTATCGCCGAATGTGCTTTCAGAAGAACGAATAATTTGTAGTAGTAAACGCCGAGCACTTCAAGTAAAAACATTTCTATGTTAGAGATTTTCTTTTGCATTCATATTTTCAGGGGCCCTATATAATAGTGCATAGAGCTTAATTTAGGTGAAAAATAATAAAAAAATGTTTTCTCTTAAAAGAACATTCGGTATTGCAGACTTTAAAAAGAAAAAGTAAATAAATTGTATTTTATACTTTAAAGCAAAGCATAAATGTAACCTTCTTAATAAATTAATACTACATAAAGATACAATAATGATATTAATAAATGTAACTGAAAAGTTACAACGGTTTTAATTATATTTAATATTTCATAATTAGTACTTTTAAAAGTACTATCGGTTTTATAATATACACTAATGATAGGTTAGAATTTATAAGAAGTAAAGTGAATATTTATGTTAATTATAATATTTACTAAACTAAAAATCAGTATGTTCTCATGGTAAATTTTCTCAATCATATGATAATTTTAAAAGTCCAATATTCAATTCCATCTTAAAAGAAAAAATATACAAAAACAATACTTTCACCATCAAGACCGAATGTTCCTTGCAAAGAACTATTATTTTCAAACGAAAAAAAATCTTACAAAACTACTTCAAATTGGGAAAAATAATTTTTTTGCTTGTTAAGCAGTATTTTAACTTAAATTATACTGGTCAGTTTTGCAATTAAACTACGTTTACGTGAAGAAAAAAAATTAATCGCTCATCACGTCTTCTCCGACGAACCACCCTGTCAAAGAAAAATGATAATTTGACAGTGACATTAATTTAATTAATTAATTAATTTTGAATAGTTTAAGCCATAGAGTATCACTCTTTTTTTTACGATAGGCGCGAATTTTTGAACTTAAATTTATCGCTAAAGTTTTAGTTCCTCTGAAGGCACATCCGGCGATACTTCGAAATCACCTCCGAAAATGTCTCGGCGTTACTGACTACAAAGTTTCAGTTCCTTCTGAGGCACATCCGGGCTTACGAGGTTAAAACTATCATTTTGTTGGTAGGTTACTTACATTTACTAAGCAACAACAGCTTTAGTTACTTTGTAAATTATGACTTATTTAAAAAATATGATATTTATGTTGCGTAGTACAGAAACGATGCTCTGACCGCTAAAATACAAAATGACTGAAACATTTCTTACTGTGGCTTATGTTTACTTAGTCTCTAGGTAGAGTCTGTGGATAAAGTGAGAAAAACAACGCTTTACCTAAGGTAGGGTTTAAAATAAATACTTAGTAAAAATCAACTATGCGTTAGCTAGTTAATACAGCATTATTTTTCCCTTTATCCACTGACTTTATTAGACTAAATATTAATATTAACTTAATGTGTTTGGTAACTCATTATTAACTCATCAAAAGTCATGATCTTAAATATTATTTGTAAAGGTGGAACATTATCTATCATTCATTCTGGTTTTGGGAATAATTAAATAATTATTGTACTAATGAATTATGTAAATATTGTCCCTACTTACATACACGACATAAATAAACCTATGGCTTTTGTGTTTGGATAAATAAAATTACATCTGCAAAAGCTTAGAAATAACTTACGTTAGAGTTGATATTCACAAGCTTATGATTTACTTATGTACAAAATAATAGAATTTGAAGTATATGGAAACAAAATAAATCACAAAGTACATAAGGATCGACGGTGAAATTTTAATTTTTAATCCTGATGACGACAATTATGACATCTAAGTAACAAATTAATGTATACCAATGAAAGTTAAATATACTTATCTAAATAGCCCCATATTTAGTCGGCATCACATTAACATTAAATTAGTGGTTTTTCAGTGGGTTACCGATTCACAATGCAGGGTTCGCAGGTCCCAGGTTCCAAGTAGGCTGGGTGGCACTGGGGGCAAGCGGGGTTCTCCCCGTAGCTGGAGCGACCAGTCCTTGCAATTTTCACTTGGAAAGACGTCTGTGCATTCTCATCTTCATAACCTGGGTGCGGCTTATCAAGAGGAAACACATAGTCGGGGACGAAATACGAACTTATGTTGTACTCCGTGTTTATGTTACTCGGGGTGGGGTCCACCGTGACCGGGGTAGGCCTAGTCACATCGCTGAAAGGACTACGCCCTCTTACAGTCTTTCCTTGGACCTGTGTGTTGTTGACCGTAACGTTACTTTCTTTGGGCGGTTCCAGATCAAATGCGGGGACAGCCCATTTCCACTCGTAGTACACGGGTGGTCCCATAGTAGTCGACGGCTGCTCTGAGAAGTCTAATTTAGGCGGCAGTAGTATTCTATCTGGAGTAGGCACCGCCGGATTGTCTCGTACACTAACAGTCGGTTCCGTCGGCGTCGGCTTGGAATTAATGCTATCGAATCTAGTTCCTTCTGTCACACCTTTATCGTTATCCTTGTCTAATTTATTGAAGTTGCCAACGTCCTTATTCTTCCGCGGCGTTCTGTCTTCCTCCGAGCTGACTTGTCCTTCGGGAAGGTGCTTATTCAGATCGATGATTTCAGATCTAGACATGGCGGTCTTGATGGAGTCGGGCGAGCTCGGGTCGAATCGTTTGATGAATTTGTAGACTGGATCGTCGGATTTGGTTCTAATGTCTATATCGGGGTATTCTGTTGTGGTGGTGTCTGGGATAGGAGGCTGGAAGTATTTTGAAGGGGTGGGGATTTTGTTGTTTTGGTTGTCGTCTTGTACTTCTGGGGTGGGTTGGAAGGTGGGGGTGAGTTCCTGGGAGGCGGCGCCCGCCAAGTGGTCCTGGTCGGTGGGGTCTCTCTTGAGCCCGAACTGGACGCCGGTGCCGGTGGACCAGCCGGTGGGCGGGCGGTAGTTCTGCTTGGCGCTGTCCAGCCCGTTGTTGTTGGAGCTCGATATCGAGTCTGCAATGCCTACGATACTGTTGCCGGGATGTACGGGGTACTGTAACATNTGTAACATTGAATTAACCATAATTAATATGACTATTATAAACGATACTATGATTAAGTTTCAATTCATCACTGGGTAGGCTTTGTATCTGTCGTTCTTACCCTAGTTTCAGCTTCCCTGAGCCCGTCGTAGTAGTTGGCGTTGGGCGGCACGGACAGGATGTCGGGGCGCGGGGTCCTCTGCTTCATATCCTCTTCTGACACGAACGGCTTGTCTCTCTGACCTGAAACATTGCACAATATTCTGAATCATTGTTCATTTCTAGTAAGTTCAATGTCAATTCATCGAAAACGATGCTTTGGGATTAATAAGACCTCAGAAAAAGACGGTGAATTTCAAGAAAATCTTACATAAATAGAGAAAAGCATCTAGAAAAAAAAAAGTGTTTAGAGTCGCATCTTGAACAAAATTTTAAATAAATTGATTTTACTAAGTTATTTTTTTAAACACTCAACATAATCAAGAATCTAAAATCTCTATCTATCTTAAGTCAGATTGTATCTTTAATTTTTAACGAATCTATCTCTTTGTCTGCAGAACAAAACTCGTAAACAAACGCATACATGTACTTAACTGACCTGCCACAACACTGGATTTGCCTCGCTAGAATCACACGCATGACAAGAGACTATCGAATATCAATAATCGCACAGAGGCGTTACCGTGATCCTGCGGTTAAGGCACATTGTAACATTAGGCACACGCGTCGTGTTACATTTCTCACCTTGCTGTTACACGATACCTCATTACCAATGACAAGCTCTTGACCGTGAGGTGTAACA